TCCCCCGGAGGAGCTGGAGGAAGTGTCTGGAGAGAGGGAAGTCTGGGCATCTTTGCTTAGTCTGCTGCCCCCGCGACCCGGTCCCGGATAAGCGGAGAAAAATGGATGGATGGATGGATGTCTTTCTATGAATAAATAATGTTTTGCTGTTGGACCCAGATATCCACTGCTTTGTGAATGGCCACGTCTGATGTTTGTAGTGCATATCTGGATCCAAAAACATTTTTCTATGGTAATGTGGACATTGTATAAGCATTTTCTCTCTCTAGTGTTTGATATAGAGATGCTGTCTGTGCTTTGTTTATAATATTAACTGCCAGTTGGAGTGTCTTTTTGATGCAGTTAAACAAGAAAGCTCATTATCTGGGGTTTTGTACCATTTGGTGACAAATTCATTTGAATGAATACCCTTCCATTTATTCTTGTACTGAAAATTCAGTTTGTCTCACTTGTGGTTGCTCAATCAGGTGCATGCTAATTATCTCGCTGCATAAAGGGATTTCTTGTCAGTGAGTGTGAGCCTGTTTGTTATTATTGAATAGTAATATCAGGGCAATGCACTTTGAGCATGGTTGAAACCATATATGCAAGTTTTATACTTTTGTATGGTGGATCTTATATTAACACACAAAACAAATTTGATATGTTTGGCTTAGCATGGTTAATATAAAATAGATTTACACCACAATTTATTGCAAATGTTTCACTTTTGGTGCTGACACTGAAGCACATATTTCTACTTAATCGTACTTAACAAAAGCCCTGCCCTATGTAGAAGCACGAATATGTAATAATGCGAGATTTATGACAAACTATGATTATGAAGTGGTTGCTTACCTGCAGAGGCCCTCTGTAACACTAACATACCCACCTTGGTCAGTTTTGGTAGCAGGCTTCCAGTTCTCTGCACTTATAACAGGTAAGCACACCTGGCCCTTCTCATCAATGTTGGGGTGATAGATCTTTGTCTTGAATGTGATCTTGGGAGGTTTGAAGGGATACTCGGTGGGGAAAATTATTTCGATTCTGAATGCACCTTTGTCATAAGGAGGGTTGTCCTGAAAGTGAGTGAAAGAGGTTAGTAAAGCAAAGTGTGGGCCTACATATGTAAGGGTACTCAAACATGGAATAGTTACTTACAGGAACAATAAGCCCTTGCCATGACAATAGGTTTGATTCCTCAACCTGAATGTTTCTGAAGTTTTTCATTCCAGATGTGCGAATCTCTTCAAGTTCCTGAGAGAACAAGCAGACAATGTATATTACAGAAGTAAAAAAAAAAATGAAGACAGGGAGATCCCATCCTGAGCAGGAGACCGAAGTAAAACATAAAAAAAAAGATATACACTCATGGGCCACTTTTAGCTACACCTGTACAATTGTATGCAATTCAATACAATACGTCCACCTTAACATTTGTGTTTATGAAGCTCAAAAAGTTCCAGTTTTAGTGAAATTGTCACAAATGTATAAATTCAATTATGTTTATTATTGAGGTCATAGTTAAAGGTGGTGTTGTACTGGTCTAGATTATATTCAGAGGTGTTCCTAATATTCTGACCCTCTCATGTATGTTGCTGGGGAGGACAAAATGCTGATACCTTTCAAGGTGGAAGCTTGATTTTAAAAGTAGATGATTGAAGAAATCCCACCCTTTTGTTCTTCTCTCCAAAGCCACTCCTCTAAAACACGTGTACTGCAATGTGCACTGCCTGACTACTACAGATTTCAGGAAAATAACAAATGCCTGCAATGCCTTGTGGGAGACTCTTGGCTCGCTCATTGAGTGCAAAGACAGTATGCGCAAGTAGGAAGTAGGCTGGCCAGCAGGTAGGCCATCCAGTGGCCTTGCTTGGTTCAAGTAAATCTATTGGTCAGACACTTTTTTCCAGTCCCGCCGTTGCCACAGATGAGATTTTTTTTCTTTATGTTATCAGTGTATTTCATGTGTTCATTGCCATTGGAATGAAAAGAGAAATTCAAGAAATGTAATAAAAAATGCTTCTGAAAAGAACCGCCAACCCTACCTTTAAGGTAGAAGTGTTGCACTGAATTGCATACAATTCAATATTGCTTTTCAACTTCACTCAGTTTCCTGAAGATCTCACAGTGCCTTCCTGGCTCATAAATTTGCAATAAATGAATAGTGATAATCTTGTAGCACACTTGGTCTTTTCTCAAGGCATCCCAGGGTGTTGTGGTACCCACTTTAATCCGATTACTGATCTGTTGCATGCATACCAGAATTTATAGTAACCCACTTACTAGAGTGCATGTAACCATGATCCGCAATTACTAGCTACCACCAGTTTGCCTAGAAACCTGGTGAGATTCCTATAATTTTTGCTGCACTAGTGACCATTACTGGTTGGTCAAGCACAAAGAGATGGAACTGAGTTGATTGTGTTGACCTTGTGTAATGGAGGTAGCACATCTGTCTACCCTTTGCCCTGTGACGTATTCATAAAAATCTTTAAACATAGTAATACTATAGTAGGCTAACTGTGCTGTCCATACGAGTTGTTCCTGCTCTACTAGCTGGCTCTCCCAGAGCAGTGGAATGTTGCTCTCAAGGTTCAAAGTGTGTCATATGCACAGTAAGGAAATGTGTTTCCCTGCACAATGAAACTGTTACTTTGCCGTCCACACTGAATGCCAAACAACACAAGTGAAATATAAAGTAGATAAATAGCACAAAATCTAAAGGCACTTTAAACAGTGAGTAAAAAGAAATATAATAAAAATATAATAACACAATAAGAGATAATGTATGCTGCATCGGAGCTATATGTGCAATAGTCAGCAGCGAGAGCGCAATTATGCATGTGCAACTGAACATGTAAGCGGTATAGGCAGAATGACATGACGCAATTCCTGATTGTCAACTCCTACATCTCTCTCTTCCTAACCCTCTCTTGCTACTTCAGCAGCACTGGTTGAAGGCACAAAATATTTGAAATGAATCAGCTGGATTACTAATCACACCAATCCCACGTTTTTCGATATCCCCCTGGACTGAGGGGACAAACATTCAGCAACAGAGTTTAAAAAGCCCATGGCATGCTTTTCCTTGTTTGACTTATCTACAATGTTACGACGGCGAATTATCATTTTAGATGTGACCTAAAGATCAAATTATGAGGTGAACATACAGTATTGTTCTAGTATTTCTATGCGCAAATACCTCGGTTTATACACGTCTCGCAAACTCCCTCTCATAAGGCCTTTCTTCTACCAAAACAAAAAGTCTTACATGATAGTTTAAGGATTTTGTTAAATGAGCATAAAATCCAGCCCATTGCACGTTCATGTTAGCTTGCCTGACATCCACCGGTGCCCCCACCATATTGTCATGTTATATTGCCTATTTTTTATGTTTTCAATAAAGTTTACTAAAACAAAAACAAACAACCACAAAAAACGACATCCACCAGTGCCACCTACAAGCAGCCAGGCAGTGAAGCCACCGCTGCGGTTAGTAATCAGCTCATCAACACTGGATTCCCCCGGAGCACAGAACCCGTTTGTTTTGACTGCTTGAGATCAGCATATGATGTGTTCAGGTTAATGAGCAGATTAACAATCCATAATGTTATTGTTGGTGCTACGCTACCTGTAGGAATTAATTTCACTGCTTTGGGACTGTATGTGGTCATGTGGGGGAGGACACAGCGACCACCGGTTGGATTTACTGACCTTGGAGCTACTTGAAAGGGAGTGATGTTTCCACTACTTGGTGGGACTTAATGGTGAGTTCAAAAAAAAAAAAAAAAAAAAAAAAGACATCTGCATGTCTGTTTCTGTAACATTAGAGAGAACTGTTGTTATGCTGGAGAAGTTACTATGTCTGCATTATGCCAGTTAAAATATGGGGTTTCTCAAATACTCGCTTTGTTTAGTGTTACAAATCTTTCCATCGGTACATATACTGTTGTTTAGCTTTCTATGGAGGAGAAATACACATTAATTAATGCTGTCATGGTTCATAGGCTGTCCACTTGTGACAACACCAGCAGCAGGAGTTGTGCGTGTTCATGAACCAACTATTCTCCCATTTTTAGGAAGCACTTTTTGGCTTTATTATTCTGAAAAAAATGATAGACTATTTGGAGTAATGAGGGGTACCAAGATACTCTAGAGGTACCCAAGATTAAATATTAAATGGCTAGAAACAAGCATGCCATGGGGACTTTAAGAATTAGTATTAAGTGTACCAATTACGGAGCACTCCATATGCATCCATGCTATATACAGTGTGCTGACTTCGGCAACAGCTGTATTCTAACATTAGCTTAGTTAGCCTTACTAGCTTGCTAAAAACATCTCCGCATTTGACAGCAGTTTGTAAAAAACAAAAAAAAAACTGTAGTAGTCCTTCAAGTTCCTGGGCTCCACTATCTCCCAGGACCTGAAGTGGACATCCAACATCAGGACCATCACCAAGAAGGCCCAAAAGAGGGTGTACTTCCTGCACCAGCTCAAGAAGTTCGACCTGCCCCAGGAGCTGCTGATACAGTTCTACAGCAGAGGAATTATCAAGTCTGTTCTTTGCTCATCCATCACTGTCTGGTTTGGCTCAGCAACCAAACAGGACAGGAACAGACTCCGGAGAACAGTCAGGACTGCAGAAAGAATCATCGGTGCAAACCTGGCCTCCATGGAAGACCTGTACACCTCACGGGTCAAAAGGAGGGCAGGGAAGATTTCTGCAGACTCCTCTCACCCTGGACACAATCTGTTTGAACTCCTCCCTTCTGGACAGCGCTACAGGTCATTGTGAGACAACCAAGACAACCAGACACAAGGACAGTTTCTTCCCCTGGGCCATCACTCTGATTAACACTTAACCCACAACGGTACGACTGGTCAATAACCTTCAGTGCAATAATTGTAAATATTCCTTGTACATATAGATCCATAAAATGCATATAGACTGTGTGAACATACAGGTCTCTAAGTAACTTTAACTTTTTTCCTAATGCACATTCCTCTTGCTTGTTTGCACATTACTTTCTTTCCCTTCTGTCCTCTCAGTCTTATATTTTTTACCTGCCCATTGCTGCCTTACATAAGGACATGTACAAACACATTGAGAGTCACTGTACCAGAGTCAAATTCCTCATGTGTCCAATACACCTGGCCAATAAAGATGGTTCTGATTCTGAAAACAAAAACAGTCCGTTGCCATGTGTTTGTGTGCATGCGAGAGAGAGAAACAGAGCGACACTCGGAGGGACAGAGCGAAAACATGCACTACACACGGCACTACAATGAAATAAGATTTAACCTATTTTAAATCAATATGTGGTGGTCCGCCACAAATAAGTCCATGTATTTAACCGTGTCGAGTTCAATAATATACAGAGATGCACCATTTGCAATTTTCTTGCCCAATTCTGATTTTTTAAGTCTCACCTGCCCATTCCAATTTTCTCTTTGTAATAACAGTAACTGACAGCATCCGGAAACATTTTCGTAACTTTTCTTTAATTAAATTGTTTTTTTACTGTAATAAAGATAAAACATTGTATTAAAGTTTTACATTTCCTTTCTTTCTCCCTCTCTTTTTTTAATCAAACCGCTAACCAAAAATGAAGTGCAATATTTGCACTTCTCCAAATATAAACAATTGAAAGAGGTAATGGAAAGAGAAGAATGTCTGTTACATCAGTCCTACTGAGCACATAGTTCTTTTTAAAACATTGTCTTTTTTTCAGCCTTACTTTCTTGTTCTGTTCTGCCAACTACCTTCAAAAGGTAAACATTGTACAAGACATCATGGTCAAACTAATTGCTGTAAAAAGTCTCAGTGACTTGTTAATAATAGCACAGAAACACCCATGGTAATTTAGACTTTCCTACACAGTACTGGACCATCAAGCACTTTTGTTTATGTTTTTATGGTTTTATATGACGAACTGTACACCAGTGTTACATGTTGCCACACAATAGATTGACACTTTGATTTGACCAAATAAAAGTAAGGTCAAATATCGCTTCTTCTTCTTCTTCCTAAGAAACATTTTCTACAATGGGATTATTTTAAGGAGGGCTAGCAATTAATTAGCAGAACTCCTTTTATGGGCTAACTAGTGACATTTCTAACTGGGAATCCATGCTGAAAGCGAGACGTGAGCAAGACATACTGTATGCGTGACTGAAGTGAGAGCAGTGTGAATTCAGTGTCAAACTGCCAAAATAGGTGAGTACTTCATTATTTTATGATTCTGATGTGCATCGACACTGGTAAAATAGGACAATAGCATATCCTGAAGCGTTAACGTGCATCATGGTGGACTGACATGCATCAGTTCACCACCGGTGTGTGGGCTTTCACTGAAATTGGGCAAGGGTGTTTTGATGCATGTTACACGTCACCTGTGTGTTGTGCCCTTAGATGCATGTAGAAAATAATTCTAGTGAGTTTCCCCTATGTTACTTTAGCATTACAGGTTAAACCATAGCCATTATGTCAAATGTTTCAAAACACACTGAATCCAAGTCTCCTCTTCTCCCCTGGAATCCTTGGGGTTTTTTGTGCTTCAGGTCTATTTTTCCCTCTGCCTCTGTTTACTTTCTGATTCTACTGGTATCTGTTACAACTGATCAGGCTGCTTTGTTTCACTTTCACTTTCTCCCTCTGTAATGACCCAGGGAAAAATCAATAAATCCACAGGCTACATAAAAATGCAATTTTCTTCCTGATGATTTAACATGAAAATTATTTTTGTCCAGTACATTTGTGCTGTTAGTCAGCCTGGTAAAGTCTTTCTCCGGCTGCTGTCCTGCTGACAAACAGCTGTTCTGATGACTTTAAAGACAGACAACATGCTGTTCATGTCCCACTTTCAGTGTGGACTGAATGGAATCATACTTTAGTAGGGCTTACGTCTCACTTTCAGTGTGTTTAACCAGTTACTTTCACATAAAAGCGTAGTATGGCAGCAACAAAGGCATAAAGTTGAGTGTGGTCACTTATCTGGAGTAACAAAACAGGATTATAAGAGATGCACACGACCTAATCTTAGTGTTAATCACATGCAGATAAGGTAGCATAGTTACCACAGACCACATTGCATAATGTGCCAATAACTTCTCAGAATGACACAAAACATTTACCGTCTCTCACTTTCATGTAAAAGCAATGAAAAATATTAGAAGAGGATTTACTTTAAGTTTATCCCCCATCCCCTCCAGAGGCAGACATTACCATTAGACAAAGGTAGGCAGCTGCCTGGGACCACATGGTCAGAAATGTACTATGGTGTTTTAAACAACACATACCAAAATACTTTCTTATTCAGAGACACATATAACCTGTTCTGCAATAACTTACAATGCACTCAAACCACCTCCACACACACACTACAGGTAATGGACTATTCCATTTTAAGACATACCACTGCGACTGTGCACCAAATGTAAACACACCAGCGCTCAAGCTTTGACTCTGTGATGCGCCAAGAATCTGAGCAGCAGAATCAAACATGAAATGAAATTATCCCAATGAGAATTCTTAGAAGAAGATGGAAAAACACCAATACAGCTGAAGAAAACTACATTCAGAAGAGCCAGAAATAGAGGGAGCAACATGTTGGTCCAGTTGGCAGTTCTCCTCAGGCAAACAAACAAGGTTAAAAAAAAAACAAAAAAAAACAATTAAGGCTACTGCTTCCATTAGAAACAAATAGCCTACTATCATACCACAGACAATATGCAGACATATATTTACGCATTTTTTCATATTGAGAATTTCAAACACTTTCAAAATATGAGAATACGTCCATGTGCCCTATAATGTCGCTACTGCAAATACTGACTTTGCCATTAATCAACAAAACTGAAAACTCTCTGCAGTAATAAACTATCCATGTCAGAAAAATAGTCATGATTTTCTAGAGTGAAGTGTCAGACTTTTACTGACAGTAAAATGAAAACAAATGATATTTGCTGTAGCTAATCCTGGCCAATCCTCTCTCTGCTTCCTGGTTAATTAATAACTAGTTAAGTTAATGCTGTTGTGACACATGTGCAACTTTCTCACTTTGGAGAGGATATCCATTCTCCCACTGTGTGAAAGTTAGTTATTTAATAAACTTGGACGAAAGACACCTACAGTACAATTAGCTGCAATCAAGAGACAAAACTGCAGTTCCTCTTAATGTTTTGATAAAACCTGGATTACATTCAGCGGCATGCAGAGACATTATTGGTGAAATTCATTCATCTAATCTGTTATGGACTCAATTTCCTCACATTACAAATTGTGGTAATCAAAAATTGTGCCACTGAGACTGGAAACAGAACAGAAATATGCAGTATATTGTCTAACAGCCTACTTCACCTTTCTTTCACCCGTTTTAAAGAAAGAATTACCTAAATGGCAATGACCATTTGTACAAAATATCATCCATGCATCACCACTCCCTGCGATCTCATTTAAAGTTTATGCCTGCCATTTTTGACCACGGAATTTATTTTTTTTTTAAATTCTTTTTTCACTTTTTTGTTATTTTGCTTATGTCTATGCATTTAAGAATAAAACGATAGCCTTATTTATACATCTAAAAGGAAACTTCAAATATCAAAAAGTACACTATCATCCCTAATACAAATAACATTCTAATTAGTTAAAATCTGTGAAAACAGACCGTGCGTCGCGGGTATCATATCTGATCCCTTCATAACGAGCTGGTAAACCTGGCTAACTGGTGCTTAGCTGATGATCGCGAGCTAGCTTATCTGAAACGCAGCTAAGATCCGAAGCTAGCAAGTTAGCTGATTAGCAGCCGCCGTTTAGTGCTGTGGAAATTCGCTCAGGGTTTGTTAGCTACATCTAAACCAACTCTTTCTGATACAACCCACTGACGCCTGAAATCCACTACTAGCTAGTAACGAAGCATCAGCTCCTTGGTCCTTTTAGTAAGGCAGACTCTCGGCTCTCTGGCCTATTTTGCCGGTGCTTTGCTACCTAACGTTAATATTTGGCCGGGTAGATAGTCAATAGTGTCCTCTCGTTTTATTTAGTTTACATGTAAAACAGCTACAAAGTGTGGCTTTACATAACGGCATTATGCTGAGATTATGCGAAGAACGAATATGTCCACTAACCACCAATACATCGTTACACATTAAAACAGTATAAAAATAACGCAACAAGGAAATTTACCTTGGCCAGCCTCCTGCTCGCCGCCATCTTGAAATTACTCTGTTCCCAGAATACACAGCGCGGCGAATATAGGTCTAGTACTAGGGCTGAAGATCAGTTCAGGGGAATCCCGAATTTTCTATCACAGAAAAACCTCTGTCAAAAATCAAAGTTCAACATTAAAGTTAAACTGTTTTATTAAGGAATTACTTAAACTTTAAATTAGTTCTTAGGCCCCTTTAGAATTAAGTGTTACCTAAAGTAAATGTTAGGCTAACATAGCCTATAACGTAGGCTAGTGTAGTCATTCATTCATTTTTATCAGGATTCTGCTAATTGGGTTAGACTCAGTGATGTATATCAATGAATCTGGAATAAATTAAAGATCCATTTTCACCATGGTTTTACCATGTAGCCTACTCTCATTTAAAATGTCACATGCTTAACAATATTAAAGAAATAAAAATGTCACCATATTTAACAGTTTAACAGAATTGCATATGTTAACAGGAGTAGTGCTGAGTCAACTATTGTATTCTATAACTATTTAATTCATCAGAATTATTTAAAAGCATTCAGAGAATAAAATACATGTAATAAATCAAATACTTGTCTTTTGCATACCATCTTAATGCAAGTGTCCTTTTATTTGGAAAGAGGAAGGTCTCAAAAATGTATGCGTTAATGTCACACCACAATAAAATTACTTTTTCTAGGTATATTATAATCCACTAACGGATTGGATTGGTTTAAATCAGGGGTGTCAAACTCAATCGCACAGGGGGCCAAAACTCAAAGTACACTTTAGGTCGCGGGCCGAACAGGATAAACATTTATTGAACAGACTAAAACTAAACGTTTTTTGAACATAAATATGAATCGAAACAGACAGGATACAATATTATTCCAAAATAAATAAACGTAAACTTAAAATCAGCAGCCATATTTCTGCTAAGGCTTACATTTGCAAACACCTGCTTTTTGTCTGGACACAAGACGTCTGCTCTGCATTCACGTTTTTCAGCTTGTCCTGATGTTTTGTCTCGTAGTGCCGTCTTAGGTTATATTCCTTAATTACAGCCACATTAGCTCCACAAATAAGACACACAGGTTTACCGGTAATGTCAGTAAAAATATACTCAGCCTCCCACCGGTTTAGAAAGGCTCTGTTTTCAGAATCAACTTTTCTCTTGGCCATTGTTAGGGGCTAGCTTTGACTTGAAATTAGGGTTGTATACATCAACAGACGCTTGATTGATGTGACAATTGACGTGGGAATGATCGCAGGTTGCCTATCGTTTGGTAAGGCAGCTGTTGCGCTGCATTATGGGATTTGTAGTTTGTGTTTTATCGGCGCCTCATATCGCCAGGCCGTTAAAAGAAAATGATCTCGCGGGCCGGATGTGGCCCGCGGGCCTTGCGTTTGACACATGTGGGTTAAATGTTCCGCTTTAACATTGAGGAGAATAACAAAAATGCTGTGTACTAATTATGATTACTTTGCAAACATATTTATTTTGTTACAGAATCGTGGAAAAAAAGCTTCACCAACATGTAAGCAATACCCCAATCAATTATCACAGTTTATACCATCAGAAAATTTTCACACAATTTTTAATGCTTCTGGGGTCCTTTTAATCAGATATGGAAGCTTTTCACTGATGATGACTTTGACAGTTATCCAGCTGTCGAAGGGATGCTGACTTGTTACACAGATTTTGATGTAGCCTAATCTAATTTCTTCTTTCTTTTGCATTTTGAAAGAACTTTATAGTAGAAGAATCTAAGTGATACTGGATCATTCAGGAACCTGAAAGGTGGATGTTTGCTTCTTTATGTGTCAAAGAGAGATGCCTCCCACACTGGTGGCACAGGGAAGTGGGGTTGCAGCAAGCATGATACCCTTTAGTTATATGATACAACTGTGTCTTTAAAAACATTTTCTAGACCAAAGACAGCTCATTTTCTACATAGCTGCTGTGATGGATTTTTAATGCAACAGTTACAAAAGAGATATAGCCTATTTTTGTTTTTGTTTTTTTTAATGTTTTGATTCATATGACAGCACACTAACTCCCTCCTGTAGATTTGATCTGATGACCTGACCAAAACTAACCATTCAGACAACAAAGTGGATGTACAATTCATTTTCATTGTCAAGAAGAATAATGTCTGAACATTTCAGTATCGGGGTCATGCTATTTGCATGACTACAGTGTGTAATGTTTCCACCTTCTGGCAACTGTTTCATCACAGATGTATGTGTCCAACAAGGCAGCAGAGGACCTGGGCTTGTTTTTATCTTTCAGAAATGGTAAATGGTCTTATACTTGTATAGCACTTTTCTATGCATTGCAGAACATTCAAAGTGCTTTCACACTATTTGAAGCATAAAATGGGGTTTGGGAAAATATAGGCTACTGGAAATTGTGCTATTTAAACAATTTGTCCCACTGAGTAGGCTAAAGACAGAGATTGGCCACTTATGTGTAGCTGATTTACAATACAACCTAGATATTAGACTCTAACACTCAGATATCAGCAGAGAAGGTTGGGGTAAGTTTGGGTTTTAGTTAAATATCATAAAAGACGACTATTTGGGGTTTAGGGATATGATTAGGTTCAGGTTAAGAGAAATGAAAACACAAATTGACAGGCAAACAGACTTCACCTCTCTCATAATCTACTATGGCAATGGATACAGTTCCTGTGGAGAAAACAGGAAGCAGGGTTGAATGGGAATTTTGCAGCTGGGTGTCTGAAGGAATGGAGCTACGGTTCGGCCAAGCAGTTTGCAAGTGACTGGGCTGAGAAAGGACAAACACAAGGAAATGAGAATTCAGGAAATGAATCTGGAAACATGGATTGTGAAGGTCGAGGTGAGGGTTGGCGTGTAGTCCAAAGGGGAAAGCACAGACTAATATCAGAGTCCAATATATCTGACGGGCCTGATGATGAGATACATAGATATAAGATAATAAGAAGGAAGGTGGAACTCAGGATGGTCATCATGTTGAGTCAGGAGGGGGTGTCCTTCAGTGTGTGGAACCTCATAGGCCTGACTAGAAATGTTCATAAAATACTGGGTGAAGTTAGAAATATGTGAGTCATAAGAAATGGTATGTTAATGGTATCTTGCCTGGATAAAATACAACCAATAAGGCTACAAAGATTCATAAAATAGATGGCAAAGGAGTGCAGTGTGTTATTCCAACAGAAGATAAAAACATAAAAGGGGTGATTACTGGAGTTCCTACTGTAACTTTGAAAGACATTAAAAACAACCTGAACAATCTGAAAGGAAGCCAAGTCATAGATGTTGAGAGGCTAAAAACTGTCAGAAATGGAGAATTGTCAAGACAAGACAAGAATCTTTATTGTCATTATGCATAGCACAACAAAATTTTTAGCACAACAAAATTTTTTCCGGCAGCTCTCGGTTTAAAAGATACATTATTTACATAACTCACAATAGTATAAGTCAATATAAAACAATGAGCAAATAAAAAGGGATGTATGGGACCTAATCAGGTCAGCAGCATGTTAACAGCAAGAGTGTAGTAACATTATAAGGTGCAGCTCAGTGCAAATCTCAGCCGAGTCTGCAGAGGTCCAGTGTTCTCTCTGTGTCCGTCCATAGGGGGGAGGTTGTGTGTGTGACTAGGGGTTGGTGGGGTGATTGATTTTATAACTCTGGGGAAGAAGCTGTGTCTCAGTCTGTTTGTTTTAGTCTTTATATTCCTGTAGCTTTTCCTGGAGGGAAGAGGCACAAACAGACTGTTGCCTGGATGGGTGGGGTCTGCAGCAATTCGTCTGGAAGTATATGATTGTTTGTCAGTTTTGATTAGGTCTGAGGAAGAGAAGTTACCAACCAAAGTATTTTAGGTTACTTTGACATTAGGCCCTATACCCCTCCATCACTAAGGTGTTTAAATGTTAGAAGTTGGGTCATGTACTGGCAGCATGCAAGGGAAAATAAAGGTGTGGGAGGTGTGCTGGAGAAAATGAGTATGGTAAACATGAAAAAGATGAAAAGTTCAAATGCTGTAATTGTGGAGGGGAGCATATTTCAGCATATAAACCCTCAGTGCAATACCTGTGTATATATACCTCGTACAGATTATACAGGTCTCTAGTTTTAAGTATTCTGTTTTATCCCTATTTATCTCATTTCAATGAACATTCCTTTGTTGCCTGCATTGTTTACTGTCTGTTTATACGGCTTATTCTGCATTGTTTGCACTGTTTCTTGATGTTAATACTGCTATTTTGTTATATTACACAGCCTTATGCTGGTTTACTGTTTGCACATTGAGAGCTGATGTACCTGACTCAAATTCCTCATGTGTCCGTCACACCTGGCCAATAAAGCAGATTCTGATTCTGATATAGAGGTTGTGCTAGCAAGAACTCAGCTGAGGTGCAGTATATCAAAACTACACAAGGAGTAATTTATGCTGAAACAGTTAAGAAAGTTGCTGAAGATGCTGACATCCACATGCCAATCAGTAAAGTAAATAGAGAAACGTACAACCTGACCTTTGCAATAAAATACATAGGGACACCATGATAGGGGACAAGGAGAAATTTGTACTCTCTATGGTAGATGTGATTAGCTTCCTACAAAATCTGTCAAAAGAACTGAAAAGTTTTTAATTATTGTTAGATCTGCAGAGAGGTTTCTGGGAATCAAGGGGTTACACTGGGAGGAAGTGAAGGTTGAGGAAACTCCTTTGAGATTACACAGACTGAAAATTATGTTACATTACTGGGCCAGCCTGCAAGGCCGTAAATGTACCCATCCTGCTAAATCATTTTAATTTGATTGCTGGGAACACAATAAGTACAACTTTTGTAGCTTTGGATGGATATATCTGTGCAGATTCTCAGTCATCCAGGTCATAAGTAAGCTGAAAAAAACTTGTTGATGAGAACTGATGAAGCCTCTTGGATGAGAGGTGAAACGTCTTCGACTTAGAAATCTAGTCCAGTTGATTTTTTCTAAGTTTTTTTCAGCTTTGGATGGATAGGTAATATTATGGCTCAGAGAGTAGAACTGCTTAATTTGAGATATTGTCCAACTGTTCCATGACCTAAGATTCTGCCTAGGTTGTTCTGTAGGCAGTTGGCACATATAGACCTAATTGAGGAACTGAAAGACAAAGCAAAATATGTTCCTACATCAACCTATGTAGAGGGTTTTATAGATCGCTATTACAATAATAAATTAATGATATTTTCTGATGGATCCAAAGATCCTGATTCTGGTCAGACAGGAGTTGCTGTGGATATTCCTCAACATAAAGTAAGTTATAAAGGAAAGAACAACTGATCACTTATCAGTATTTACAGTTGAACTTGTTGCTATATTAATGGGTTGAGGAAAACAACATTAATATGGGATTAATTTGATCTGATAATTCTTCGGCCCTCTCTAGTATTAAGTCAGGTTTATCTGAGACCAGATATGACATATTAAATGAGATAATACTGTCCCTGTGGAGGATGACTAGGAAAGTTAGTTAGTTTTTTGTGAGTGCCAGCCCATGTAGCTATTGATGGTAATGAGGCAGCACTGCTGCTAAACAGTCTATAAAACCTGACGCAGTTACTAAGCATATCCCAATATCTAGGTTTGAAATGAAAAAACATATTCATATTCACAAATATGGTAAGAGCAGCGGGACTGTTGTGAAACTGGTAGACACTTATATAAGATTCAAAAAATGGTTGGGTACCAGCAGGCATGGATTGATACTAGAAAAGAGGACATTGTAATAACTCATTTGAGAATAGGTCACTCAGGTTTAAATCATGCCTTGCATAAAACAGGTAAACATCCTACAGGTCATCCTGTACACTGTAGTCAGGCTGAGACAGTAGAGCATGTCCTCTTCTTATGCAATGCTTATAATGAACAACATGCTCAAAGGATAGCTTCGATGGAAAAAAATAAAGATTAATAATATGTCAATGGAGAGCTATTTGGGTTGCAATTGTAAGAATGTATATAAAATTGTTATCATTTATTTAACAGAAATAGGTGTCATTGACATGATGTCATTTTCTATGCAGTTCTAAGTACCCCGTTTCCCCCTTTCTTTCGGCTCTAAGGTTTTTCCACACTCCACTCCAGCAAGTGGCGGTAATGCATCTTAAGCTATCATGCAAACCACCAATAAACATCAGAAGAAGAAAAAAAGACATTGATAAATGTTGTAGGGCATCACCCATGCTGGAATCAGATAAAATTAAATTCATGAACCTTCAATCAAAACTGGATGAGATGTATGTGAGAAAGGCATATGTAAGATCCAGAGCCAAATGGCTAGAAAAGGGAGAGAAAAATACAGCTTACTTTTGTAGCTTGGAAAAAAGAAGACAAGAACGAAATGCAATTAATGTGCTTATGATAAATGATGTTGAATGTTCAGATTTTAAACAGATATCTGATAAAGTTCACAAATTGTATAAAGAACTATATTCCTCATCCTTTTCTAAAGAAGAAGCGAATTCCATATTTCAAAATAATAAACATTTTATTCCCATAATAACCACTGATTTCAAAGATCTTTGTGACTCTGAATTTCAGTTATATGAATTAGATATGGCACTCAAAAAACTCTCTTTAGGGAAAGCTCCAGGACAGGATGGCCTTTCATCAAACTTCTATAAATTCTTTTTGGAAGAAAGAAAACAATTATTATTTTACGTCATATGTGAATGCCGTAGTAATAAATCTCTAACACCTACAATGAAGCAGGGACTAATAACTCTTATTCCCAAACCTGGTAAGGACAAAAAATATTTAGAAAACGTAAGGCCTATTACATTACTTAACGTGGACTACAAACTTTTTGCTCACATCATTGCAAATCGATTAAAAGAAGGTATTACACAAATTATCAGTGAAACACAGTCGGGCTTCATAAAAGGTCGCTCCATCCATAACAACACAAGGTTGGTGTTAGATTTACTGGATTATAGCGAGAGAATTGAGGATGATGGTTTTATCTTGGGGGTGGCTGTGGCTCAAGAGGTAGGGCAGTCGTCTCGCTGACCAGCAAGTTGGTGGTTCGACTCCCGGTCTCCCCGCATGCCTAAGTGTCCCTGAGCAAGACACTGAACCCCGAATTGCTCCCGGTGGCTTGATTAGCGCCGTTGTGTGGCAGCTGTCGTCATCGGTGTGTGAATGTGTGCGTGAATGGGTGAATGGTGGTATGATCTCCCTGTAAAGCGCTTTGGAAAAAAGCGCTATATAAATACAGTCCATTTACCAT